GGTGGGGGGGGTGGCGGCAGTTCGACCTTGTCCTATGGGACTGCTATGAGTCGTTATTGACTGAATGGTAGTGAATTTGAAATTCTGAACTACTACTTTATCATGAAAAGTTTGAGGAATTTTGATAACCTCTGGATTTTCCCTCAAAGCTACTGTTTCAAAATCATTATTTCCATCTCCTGCTGGCATAGTGTGTCGTGCACTGGGCTATCAACCATAAATTCAGCAGTCTGAAACCACCAGCCAATCCATGGTAGAAAAACAAGGCTTTCTATTCCCATAAAGAGTTAAAGTCTTGGAAAGCCATGGAGGCAGAGTTTGATTGTTTTTTAAAACAATTTATTTTGATCAAAACGTTTTATTGAAAAATCATAACCAAAAAATAAAAGTAAAAGCAGTAATATATTTTTTAAGTGTTAATGTCATCATTTTCCTGTGAGAAAATGGTCATACAAAAATAGTCTACAAAACAAAAATAGTCTAAAAATTTTCAAAGATGAACAATTCTAAGTGAAACCTTGCCTTCATCTACACTAACTGCAGTAAGCTAACAAAATGAGCTCTGGTGGCACAATTAGCTAAGCGCTATAAGGTCAGCCGTTTGAAACCAGTAGCTGTTCTGTAGGCGAAAGATGAGCCAGTCTTTTCCCTAAAAGATTATAGCCTCTATGAACGTGAGATTGGAGAACTCGGACAAAATCACAGACAGAGCCACACCAATTAAGGATTCAAGAATACTGAACTACAGTCTTTTTGTTCTTAACTTTGATTTTGATTTTAGTGGTTGTCAGAGAAAATCAGTTTTTCATTCAATAATCCATACATATTTTGTTTCATGCCATTGACTGTAATTCCTGCAACAGAACATCTCTCATCCCACTTCCTCCTGGGGTTTTCTGTTTCCCTCTGTGGCCTCCTTTGCTACCACCTCCTGCCTTCTGAACAAAAGGCAGCCTGGGCATCTGCTGCCTTCTGACCTAGAAGTATTCATTGTTCTATGACTGTGATCTTCCATAGTGTAATCAGCCTTATAGATCTGTCGTTTGGCAGAAAATTGAGCCAATCAAGTGGGTTCAGTTCCAGGTCTGCAGGGTAAATAAAGGCCCTAGATTTCAGGGTTCCATCAGTCCCTATCCAACCAGTGGACCTGGCCTTTGCAAAGATTTTGAGTTGTGTTACATATTTTTTCTCCCATTCTATCTAAGATGCAGAGCCCTGGTGGCATAGTGGCTCCTTGTTGGGCTGCGATCACAAGGTTAGCATTTCAAAACCACCAGCAGCAGCTTCGCTGAAAGACTGGGCTCTCTACTTCCATAGTTAGTCTCAGAAACTCACGGGGCAGTTCTGCCCTGCTCTATGGGGTCGCTATGAGTTGGAATCGACTCAAGGGCAGCGAGGATCGAAGATGAGATGGATTGACACTGTAGCTGTGACAATGGCTCAATCATAACACTTGTGAGGGTGGCACTGGCCTGGGCAGTGTTGTGTCCTGGGAGTTGGAACTGACCGGACAGCATCTAGTAACAACAATCACAGTCTAGGTCCAGGCCCGTCTAATGTGATCCCTTTCAGAGCAGCTGGTAGTGACAGGACCATTCTAGTTCTTCTGGTCTCAGGGGTGTGGAGGCTCCTGCTGGTGTGGTCTGTAAGCCTTCTGGATTAGTGAGTTCCATGGAGCTCTGATTTTCTTCATTTTCTTTGCTCCAGGCAGGGAAAGATCTCTAGTTGCCCCTCAGATGGCTGTATATGAGCTTTTAAAGATCACAGTCAAGATCTCACCAAAGTAGGGGTAAAACGTTTTATTTGGGGATTACGTTGTGCCACTGACCTTGATGCCCTCCCTAGGGCTAGTAATTGATTCCCACCAGAGTGTTTGGTCATGACTAGGCATGTTTCTTAACTTTCTTCCTGTATGCTGTACTGCATTCAAAGATTTGTTCTTTGTACCCTATGCAGATACATATAATCTACCTAATCTGTAAAGGAAAGATCCCATAAGGATATGCCATTAGAGGAGTTTCTTGAGTTGTTTTCACTATCATGAGGATTCTTAGGGAAAATTATGATAATTAATAATTAAATCACTTTGCAAAAACAACCTTTAGTCATGTGAATTGTTCAAGGTAAAAGGACGTGAACTGAACCTTGATATCATACAACTTTAGGCGGAGTCAAAAACCCTCACATATTATCCAATTTTATTATGTTAGTGTTTATGTAAGGTAAACAAGAAGAAAGATTTTCAACCAACTTAAGTCAGTAGATAGGACGAGTCAATATTTCGAGGACACTGAGCTTGTGCACAGGTGACGGCAGACGCCATGATAAACACAATGCACTGAAACAGGCATGGTACAGATCACTGAACTGTCGAGGGCTTTGTTATGTATGTTTACCACAACTTTTTAAAACTCACATATACTTCATTAATATGAATTCAAAGATTATGGTGTTTCATGAATGTTAATTTCTAAATAACTCTACCTTATGAACTTTTTAGTACCCAAAAGGCCTTTCAAAAAAAATCCCAACCATTTTAATGGAAACATTAATGGAAACATATTGTCAGTTCCACACTGCCACACTAATAAACAGCTAAACATTTTGGGTCTTCCCAAGAAGGTGGGGCAGCATTCCCAGTTAGTAATGATGTTATTGATGTGCCTCTGAGTTGAACCTCTAGGACACAGAATTGCCTGCCCCAAAGGCCTGCCTATAGGCGGTAATCTTTAAAGTCGCAGTGGGGTGGAAATGGTTGAGTGCTGAGCCACTAAGAGAAAGATTTGCAGTTCAAATCCATCCCACAGGGCCTTCAGAAAGTCACACCCAGAGAAAATGCTATGGCACATAGTGCTACTGACCCACATGGGGCTGTCACAAGTCAAAATACACTTGAGGACAACGGGTAACCTTAACTGGATCAGATCACCAGGACTTGTCTCTCTATGTCACCCCAACCCCACCCAACCACCCACGCTAACGGGGTGCTTGACTGGACCCCAGACCTTCTGGTTAGCAGCCAAACCGTTCATCATGACGCCGCTAGGACTCCTTTCCTTTCTCCGAGGTCCTGGGTGACCTGGAGCTTCATCCCGAAAATGGCGTTTGCTTTTCTGGAGCTCTGACCAACGGTGGCCAGGATGCATCACGGTGGTGGCAAATGCAAAATAGTTCTTTGGAAGAGTTATCTGTTTCACATGATGGAACTAAGCACCCTGAAATCCTGCACTTCATGGTTAAATGTGGATCCAGAGTTCCCTTGATTATTTTCAAGGAATTAGAACTGGAGAAATTATACAAACATTTTCTTATGACTACAACATCTCTTTGACCTTGTGAAATATAACATGTAAAAGAATACAGAAACAAGTCTCCTGGGGAAAATGATTTTATCATCAGGCTACTACTGATGCACTCCCAATCTGCAGCAACTGGCGAGAACAACAGAAACCAAGGGCAGGGCACCCTGCAGACCCTGGTAATAAAGATGCCTCTTCCTGCAGCAGGTCCTGGCACGGAAGTGCTGTGTGTCTTGGGCATGTCATCTAACCTTTCTGAGTCTTGCCTTATTTCACATGCAAAACGGGGCTAAAAATATCCCCTAGGGTTGTTAGCAGGATTAAAATGGAATAACATATGTAAAACACCTGGCACCCAGTAAAAGTGCTCATTAAATTTTATTTCTCTTCCCTTCCCTTCCCAGCAGGAGGAAAGGGGGAGGGTCAGCTGTACTCCCTTCGTCCATAATCGTTCCTTTTTCTATGCTTGGAGGGGGGTCCCTGCTTTTTCGTGGTTTGAAAATTGATGAGGGGTCACTGAGAATATTTGAGGTATATGAGTAGGGTGATATTAGAGAGATCATACCTATTTGATGGCACAGTCCAAACCCTTCAAAAATTCGATGGCACTTTCCCATTTTCTTTGTACATTCAGCCAACACATAAATTCTGTCAAAGTGTTACTTTCGTGTGCAAAAAATATTACAGTAGAGACTTTTTTTCAGTTACAAGGTGGTTACACATTGGGCTGCTAACAGCAAGATCAGCAGTTCAAAACCACCAGCCAGCTCCAAAGGAGAAAGGCTCTCAACTCCCTGTAAGGGGTCACAGTTCTAGAAGTGCACAGGGGTAGTTCTACCCTGTGCTATAGGGTGTCTATGTGTCATAATGGAATCAATGGAAGTGATAAATACACATCATATATTCTCAGACATATATCACATTTATGATATATGCATAGATGATACATTCATGTCACATGAGATAACATACGATGTCGTTTGTGTAGACGTACATGTATGTGTACATAAATGTTTTAATGCAATTATTCTCAAAGACCCCCCCACAGGTCTCCAAGACTATTTTGGGAGTTCACAAGATCAAAATTTTTTAAATTATTGGAGAAGAGCATCACACCAATGGCTTTTTTAACTCTTTGCCATGAATGTATTTTCAGTTTTCCAAAGGCTAAATGATGCATGTTATCACAACAGATGGTAACATAGGTAGAGAGGAAAACCCAGTTTATAGCTATTAAAATGGACTTCAGAGAGATTTCTGAACATGTAAAAACAATGCAGCTCTTTTCAACAAAATAATTTTTGTTTGGGAAATACAGGCTTGTTTGTATTTTATAACGGTGGGTTATTTATGTTAATGGAATATAATGGCTTTATTGTTGATGCTGTTAGTTCTGTTACTTAAAATCTACATATTTCAATATTTCCTCAGGTTTAATCTGAAATAGAGTTGATATCAGAAGCTATAATCTGCATAAGCGAAAGCATTCTGAGGTGCTCAATAATTAAAAGTGCAAAAGGGGTCCTGTGACCAAAGATGAAAAACTGCCGTTGGAGTGCCCTGGGCCAGCCCCAGACACGGAAGAAACGACCCCTCCAGAACCATCTGTGAAAAACCCGAATCCAGTTCACTGCCACCGAGCCGGTGCCACTTCACAGTGACCCGACGAAACAGGGCAGAACGGTCCCTGTGAGTTCCGGAGACTGTCATTCATCTTTCGCCTGCAGAACAGCTACTGGTTTCAAACTGCTGACCTTGAGGCTAGCAGCTATGCCACCAGGCTCCTTGATCTTTGAAAAGGTAGACACTATTTGTTCTTGGATTTTACAGTAGGTCACAGCTAGTAAGTCTTAGTAGAGACAACATCGAGGGGCAAATTTCTCATACAATAACACGTATTCAAGTCTCACATTAATAAGGATCAATTAAGGGTTCTAGAAAGAATATTTAATTCTTGGTTGCTGTTCCAAAATAAACTTTCCTTGAGGGCTGAGTTTCCATATCTAAGATTCAATTTTAGTTTCATTTTAAGGAGGACCGGGAAAACCCTGCTATATGAACTGAAAAGAAAGCTGTTTTAAAATACTCAAAAGATGCCCTGAAGGTGGGCCATTTTGATACATATATGTGCTCAGTTTACTGAAATCTGATTACAAATGCAAAGCATTAGAAAAATTCTAAGCTAAAATACGCTGGGAGACATGAACTAAACACACACTAAAAACTACTGCTTTGGGGCACATTCTTTTCAGAAATAAATCCGTCCTATGCACGAGACGCTCAAGCAACATATTCTTTGTTGAAAAGGAATTCAACAAAAGCACTGCTGTAGTGCTTACACAAATACATCTCTCACCCTTTGCCTAGAGAAAAAGAACCCCGAGGGGAGGTAAAGCAGAGACCAAGGCAATGTAATGCTATGGCTGAAAGGGTGGCAAGGGTTGTGAGAAGTATTTTGTAGTTTCTCACAGTATGCTTAAAAAATACAAAAGTGCTAGCATTTAACATTCCCATAACAAAGTACCTGATGCCTAACTAAACCACCACACCCTGGTTCAATGTGTAGTAACCAATACTTGATTATATGACCCTCGTAAACTAGTTACCATGCCAAGAAAACATAACTTTTACCTTTCCTGAGTCTACAACTGCACACAATCAACAATTCCACACTGCAATTATCGATGCTAAAGAAACAAGGCTTTCAATCAAGTCGTGCACAATTTCCAGATGAGCTGCACAGACATTGAGGCTCAAGACTCGGGCAATAAACTCAACTGAAAAAAACAGTATGTCTAAAATATCATATTCCTTCTTCAGCTACGCAATTTTCTCAAAGGGAAATTCTAAGCGAAAGAGAGTACACCCTGTGAGTTGGCTAATTAAATCCTCTAAACCTCACTTCTAACACTGAGCTTAAACAGCTGATAGACAGGCATTAGGCAGGATTGCCAGCAATCACTAATGAAGCAGTTTTCATCTGTCACCAAAAAATAATTTTGAAAAAAAGAAAATCTTTAATTTTAAGTCCACCTTAAAATGCCTACTTAGAATAGAACCAGTCCTACAGTTCATTAATATCTTGGAGAAAGATAATGGCAAATTAAGGCAAAGACCAAACTTTAAGCCACAGCACACCATATAAATAACATAAAAATTTATGGAGCGTGCACTGGATGGGCCCAAAGCAAGAGTTCCCAATGGCATTCCCTTCCATATCATTTTTGTCTTCTCATTAATGCAGAATTGTGTAGCAATTCATAAAGGATTCATATGATCAGAATAACTCTGTTTGACACCAGTAGCAGTAAAACATATTTACGATTTCTTGTGAAAATAAGACACTAATCTACTAAATTAGCGGTCTGCAATGGACATCTCAGAAAGATTACTAGCATCCTGCCAGTTTAAGAGAAATGGCATGGAGTAAGACACACACATATTATCCTGTGTCATGTCACATCCTCAGGCACATGAGAGTTTTGCAGCAGCACCACGACCACCAATTTCACAGAAAGCACTTCTGTATTTGAACCCCCTATTTGAGGGAGGCCAATGCTGCCCAGTCCAGATTATGAATGAGTGGACAAGGGGATGATGAAGAAATTAAGTAGAATCTTTCAGTTATTCCCACAGTTGTAATGTCACATATGACATTGAGGAATTTAAACTACTGACCCCCATCTTTTAAACTCTGCTTTCTCTTGACATCAACCTTTCCTTCGACAAGCAAATCAGGCCTGCCTCCGCCAGCCTCAAAGGTCCTGGCAGCCTGGCTGTCCTTTCTCTCCAGGTCCCTATCCACAGGACCCACCACTGGGTGCTGCCACTGCTTCTCTTTCCTCACTCCCACCTCTCACCTGGGGTCACAATTTCTGAAGGTGCAGATGGACCGATATTTGCAGCCTCTGGCACCCAAACCCCTTTCAGCACCTCTGTAATGTTTGTCCTATTTCCCAGGGCCAAGGTTTACGTGGTGGGGGACAGAAGATCCTTTATCTGTTTGTTTCGGATGGCTGCTGAGAGCCACTGAGGATGAGTAAATGCTTGGATGTCTGTCTCAGGAACCAGGGCAGAGGGGAAACTGGAGTTTCTGCTTCCAAGGGGCCATGCAGTACGGAGGAGAATGGTTAGTCAGGAGCGGAGAACGGCAGCCTCAGCAGCCAAATTCTCCCACCTACACGCTGGAGTTCCACTGATGCCTCGATCCAACAGAAGCCTCCCACATTTGGGCCCAAGCCCATTCCGAAGCAGTAACCCCAAGGGCAGGCTTGCATCTGCTTAGTCCTGAGCACCATCTTGCAAAAGTGCTGTCAGACCCCTCTGTACAAGTGTCAGGCAGCAGTAGCACACAGTGAGAAGCAAGCTGGTCTCGGACAGACCAGTAGAGCATGGGAGTTGTGCAATCCAAATGGCAAACTTACACAAATAAAATTTGGCCATACCAACAAATAAATTCCATAAAAGATAAAAAGAATCCAGACCCTTAAGTAAAAGACCACTAAGGTTTGGGACCCTTAGCGGCATCATCTTTCACCTTCTGTAGCCCCGGGGGCCAGCAAAGAAAGCTCTTAGAGCAGCAATTCTCAACCTGTGGGTCCCAACCCCTTTGGGGGTCGAGCGACCCTCTCACAAGGGTCGCCTGATTCATAACGGTAGCAAAATGAGAGTTATGAAGTAGCAACGAAAATAATGTTATGGTTGGGAGGGGTCCCCACCACATGAGGACCTGTATGAATGGGTGGCGGCCTGAGGAAGGTTGAGAAGCACGGTCTTAGAGCCTGCCAGGTCCTTGTAGCTATGTCAGAGGAAGGAACTCCTGGAGCTCTTCCAAACAAGGCCTGCCC